CCCCCTCCGTGGTTCTGTGCAGCGATCAGACTCTGGTTCTTTCGGGTCTAGTAGAACCTTGGCCTTTCCATGGAGTCTGAAAACGTTCCTCTGTGCCGCCGACCGACCAGTCCGACCCAGTAAAACCTAAACAGAACCAGTAACCAGGTCCCTCAGAGAGCAGCGGCCTCGGCGCCCGTTACCAGGGCAACGTCTCTAACCGGGCCGAGTCAGGAACGGCAGCGGGACGGTTCCTGCTCTGCGGTTCTGCTCACATTCAGAGCCGGGAAACAAAAAACAAAGAAATCACTGAGAAGCATGGGGGGGGGGGGGGGGTGAAGGCAGGGGCCCCGGCTGGGGGAGAACCGCCGACCCGCTGGGGTCCGCTGACGTCTGCCGGTACTGGTTCTTCAACATGTCGGGTCCGGCCGCCGTCTCGGGGATGCGAGGTCTCAGTTGCTGCTGGGGGCCCCGGGGCCCGCCGGGGCTGCTGGGATGCGAGGCATCTTCTTGAGCGGACTGGGGACGTGCTGCGGAGACAAAGCGGGTCGAACCAGAACCAGGTTAGAACCAGGCTCCTGACACAATGAACCCAGTTAGAAATCTGTAGACGGGATGTTTTCTCCAGATGTCAGAAATCAAACCACAGACGTCCAGACAGGAAGTTACGTCACTAAAGGAAAGTATTGAAAACGGGAGGAAAGGGAGGAGCCAGACGGAATCTGTCAGGAATTAAAGCGAGCGTCACTGCGCAGCTGCAGGTCACACTGCGTAAAACCGCAGGGATTCCTGCAGCTCACGATTTCTGTACGACCCGACGCTCTGATGCGATCTACCTGCTCACACACCCGATCGAAAAATTCTCACACGACTGGAAAAATATCGTCCAGCGCGGGTTTTTAATCCCGCTCCGTCTCAGATTACTGGCATCAGCCGGTTTGTTCCCACATGGTGGACTAGAGAAAGGTTTCTCTGCTAGATCCTGATGCTGACATGAAGCTTCATTCAACTGTTTTCATTGAGACACAACTAGCCCCACAGTTAATGACGCTAAACCACCTACTGGTGAAAAGCAGAACTACAGCTGGTAATATAATCTTTTTTTACATTTCATTTTCATTGAAATTGTTCATGGTTGGTGTTTTAATAGCATCTTTTGCGTGTAAAATGTCTTAGAAAAACATTAAACCTTAAAAGATTGTTTTCTTCTCTCATTTTAGTGAAATAAGTCCAAGCAGACAGTGATGTGTTTGTGTGGAGGAATGGGCCAAAATCCCGCCTGATCAACGCATGTCACTCACTGAAACTGTCATTAAAAGGCTTTTCTATTAAGAATTAAATAGATTTTAGTTCAGGTGCGTTTATTGCTTTTTCCATTTTCTTTCACATAACTTCATGTCTGGTTCTATGGTTTGGTTTCAAACGGGTCGGATCTATCAGGTTCTGGTTCCTGTCTGGGTTCTGTTCCAGTCCCTCACCTCAGAGGCGGCGCCGGAGCGGACCAGGTCCGGCTCGGCTGGCAGCTCATCGTCCAGCGGGCGGCGGGCGTACTCCCTGCGGTGCTTGTCGTCCACTCGGGTCAGGTACCAGGTCCCCGGGAACAGGTGGTCCACCGGGCTTCTGGGGACGTAGTTGGCTGCGGACAGGAAGGACAAGAGGACATGATGGACGACCTGAGGGTCCAGAGACCTCAGACCTAAGATAATTCTGCAGCTCAGTGACTTTCTATCAAAGCAGAAGAAAACCCAACCATCAGAACCAGTGAGACCAGCAGCAGAGACACGCTTCTGGTTCTGGTTTGCAGCCTGATCAGTTCTGAGGGAAGAACCGGGCCGCAGGATCAGAACCGGTACCGTACCTAAGTGATGCGTCTCCTCCCTCAGCTTCATGCTCTCAGAGAAATCGGACGGCGACACTTTGGTTCTGGAGTCCAGTCGGAGCCTCAGGTCCTTCAGGCTGGAGACCAGCTTGTCCAGTCCAGAATCTATCAGAACAGAACCCGATGTCAGCGCGGCGTTTCCAGACCCGCGGCGGCGCTAAGCCCAGAACCAACTCACCGGGGGTGTGGTCCTGACTGACCCTGAGGGAGAAGAGGGTGGCGGCGAAACCCGAGCCGTAGGAGAAGAGTCCGATGCGCTGACCCGCCAGCTGAGACGCTGTGTGTCTGCAAACACAGACAGGACCGGTTCAGAGCGGTTCTGCAGAACTTTGGCTCATTTCATCAAAAACCAAAACTGGATTTTATTCCTGCTTCAAAAAACCCATCTAGTTCAGAACTTTCTAGGTTTGGACCCACAGAACCAGACGGACTGAAGGCCTGGTTCTGTCTGGACGTACTGGGCTATGAGCGAGGCCAGGCAGCCGTACACGGACGGCGTGTACATGTTCCCGTTCTGACTGGACAGCAGCAGCGACGGCGCCGTCTTCCTCTGGAACAGCTGGGCGCTGGCCGCCATGAAGGCCTTCTCCACGTCTCTGTCGAAGTACGTCTCCTCCGGCTTCACGCCTCTGCAAGGACACACAGCGTCAGACGGGTTCTGCTCCCGACCCGGCCCGATTCTAAAGGCAAACCTGCAGCGGCGGGGAGGTTAAACCAGAACTCCCAGTCTGATCCAGTGAAGGTTTGGAGGAAACACCAAACCTTCACTGGATGGACTTCCCAATTTATGAGGCGGTTCTGGTTCTGTAGAACCTCCTCCGATGCCGAGCAGAGGAACCCTCCTGCTGGTACCTGAAGGAGTCCAGACCCGCGAAGTGACCCGTCTCGGTGTCGGGGCTGGGGTGGTTCAGAAAGTCGTTCAGCATCAGACGGGCCAGAGACTTCTGGACCAGCTTACAGTACGGAGAGTGGAAGACCAGGAACCCAAAGTCCTCCAGGCTGAAAAGCTTATCAGAACCATCTGTCAAAACACAAGGAAAATGGATCGGACCTTTTCTCCAACCAGAACCAGCAGGTTCTGCATGTGGAGCAACCAGAACAACCAGCGTGTTCAGTCCTCATGTTGTTCTGTAGAACCCTGCTTTAAGGTGCGGGGGGGGAGCGGGACAAACTATTACAGGTGAGGGGGGGAGCGGGACAAACTATTACAGGTGAGGGGG